AACATTCTGGGATATTCATAGAATATCAAATGCTATCTGGGTGATGTACTTACAGTTAAACTCATTATTGTCCTGGGATCGAAACACAGTGGGGCATTATCTGGTGAGTTTTGTTTTTCTACGTGCAACTCTTCCAAACCTTCAATACACTCAATTCCCTCTAGAACACGAATGCGGTTTTTGCCCAAATAGAGCTTTTTTAACCGGCGCAAGTTGCACATGTTTTCCATTTTATCAATTTGGTTGTTTTGCAAGTACAAGCTGGTCAGGCTGGAAAGACTTTCAAGGTTTTCCATTTTTGTTATATCGTTGTCGTACAGATAGAGGGTTTGGACGTCTTGACCACTGGCGATTTTCGGCTAAAACATGCGATTTTCTCAAGTAATCAATGAGATTTGGGGCCAATACTTACAATTTTCCTTAGGTGTTTTTCTTGTAGGTACAAGTGAGTCACCCTGTCGAATAAGCGGGATTTTTTCTTTTTCGTCTTCAATTTTTCCATTTCTTGCTAAATATTAAATGACACTGAACTTTTTGTCACTGTTCATTGCATTTTACCCTCTCGATTTCTGGTCACTAAGCAGGTATTTGATCAATAGCAGATTGTTAATCAACCGACAGTTTAAGTCAAAAGCGATTTATTAACACACAAGTTAAACTACCTGTACAAATTAGGATTTCATATACATTTTGTCATATCTATATAACAATGTGAATTTTACAATGGACCATTTAGAACCCTACTATATGCCCATCTGGCAGTACAAAACCTCGGACCCAAGTTCCACATCGACTTCACAGAGGATCGGGGTTTGTCCACATTGAACTCAATCGATGCGGGTTTTTGGTCCGATTCGAAGTGAAAATGGGGAAAATTAACACACTTTGCTCGATCAAAATGTGCCGGAGAGTGGATTACACGCATTTCTAAACGATATGACATAAAGGCGGGTGCTTTAAACATTCCAAGGGAATGTTCTCATTTTATAAGCTATTTTTACAGGGTGGCGCGAGCTTAAGACTGCATTTTTTGTTCTTCATAAGTCATTCGAGGCAACCCGCTGAATTTTTTCACGAAAGTCACATTTTTTCAAACTAATGGGTTTTTCGGGTTTTTAGGCCGTCGTTCGGTAGAATTTATTCGTGACGTTTCGCAAGCACGAGTGGCTTGCATCTTCAGAAGTGGTTTGGGTTAGTCCTCATCAGAACTTCTTCCGCAGAACTGAACGGGTTCTGATGAGAAGAAGAAAGTTCTGAGAGAAGTTCTGATGAGGACTAACCCAAACCACTTCTGAAGATGCAAGCCACTCGTGCTTGCGAAACGTCACGAATAAATTCTACCGAACGACGGCCTAAAAACCCATTAGTTTCAAGGAATGGCCTCGAAAGTCTGTCTCACATTTTTTCGTTTGGTTAGTGGCGTAGATTTTTGGGTTGAGAGGGATTGTTTCGCCTCCAATTTGTACGCCACTGGAATAAATACGTGATGCGAAGGCACTTCGTGAAAGGCCACTGTTTTCTGGGTGCTGTGGAAGTGTGGACCGTTTTGGAGCAAAGTTGCATTTTATCATTAAAAGAACATGTTAAAAAGTTTTGCTTGATAAGCATTAATCTTTCGAGCAGTGCCTTCAAATCGCCATTTTTCCCAGTAGCGTAGAAATGAGGAGCAAAATAATCGCTCTCAACAACTGGACAACTCAAATACTTCACAGAATAGACCGGAAAAACTGACAAAATTGTTGCGACTTAAGCTTGGGTCGCCTTGTATACTGTCGTTTTCCTGATAAGCTCCAGATATGTAACTTTCCATAAGATTGAGTGAAGTTTCGATTAATAATCGTATTGCTTTGGGACCTAAAGTTACGTTCTAACATCTACGGTTGGAACATGCCCTTGGAATTGCAACTGTTAGTGTGGGTAGATGAAATTAAATGACAAATTAATATAAAACGATACAAAAAGCTTAAGTTAGTGATTTCTATCTACAAGATCTAACACAAAATCTGCTAGCAATCGCTGGTAATCAGCGTCAACAGATAATAATTTAGGTTTTGATTATGCTTGAGTTTGCAGTTGATTTTTGATATGGAAATGTTCAGAACCTCGTTTGTAATCTGTTGGTTCTTCCATTTCTCTACCTAAAACCAACCTGTTGCTGTTGATTACCCTTTTCCACTGTTCAGAATATCATAAGTAATTTGCAGACATCTTACATTTACTACATATAAATTTAATCTATTTCTTGGGAATTTTCCAACAAAACCCAACCAACCAGTGGTTGAAACTGATGAGTTTTTCTGAGTTACTGGTGAAACATTGGCAAGAAAAACTCAACATTTTCAACTAAGAGCCGCGAAAGAGTTTTTCAACCAGGCGTTGCTGGAAAACCGCAAAAGTTAATAAACATTTCTAAAGATATGGTGTTTGGAAATTCAGGTGCCTCTATTGTGCATTAGTTGGTAGTTTGAAGCATTAAGATTACATTGAAGCGGCCACTCAAGAAGGAGAAAACACCATAGATTTAGAGAGGAAAATAGTTTAGGTTCAGTCAGCCTTATGTTTAAATCTCATGATCACACACTTAGTGTTTGGGTGTCCGATCGCCTCTATTGGCCGTGTTTCTAAATTTATAAACGCTTTATTTATAAATTTAAATGTACACATTCGCTGCGATCGCTTTATTTAGTAGCAATTGGCCCGATGCCATCGTTTTCTTCATTGCATTTTAAAGCTTTAAGCAATGTCGTCTCAATGGGTATAAGTGGTTTTATCGGGGCTCACTTTTTAAAATTTTCATTATTTGTTCATTGCATTATATTCATTTTTCTACTTCAAAAGTGTTAGTTTGCTCGAGTGGTTTCAACCACGCAGGCGTTGAATGTTTTTGGCGAATTCAATGTTGGGAAAGTTGGAATTTTGTTGTTTTAGAGAGAAATAGAAATGCTTTAAACGTTGTGGTGAATTTTTGCAATTATTTTTATATTTGCAAGGGGCTTCAACGAAATTGGAACGTTGACTTTGACTAGCGGAATAATAGTTTGTTCAGTTTTACTAGAAAATAGCCGTTAGGAAAGGCAAAAAATTGCGAATTTTGCAAGCGATTTGAGAGTTTTTTTGGCGAACTGAAAGAAAATGGCACAATACGGTGTTTTCAGTGTATCAAAAATTCCTACAAACTAAACATTGATCTATGCTAATATATCTATCTACTGCTATTTTGTTAAATATTTAATAAACAAATTCAGCTAAAATTCAAATTGTTCATGAATCTCTAAAACGCAATCCGATTGGTTGTGACGTCTCTGGTCATATAAATGGCGGATTGTTTACGTTCTGTGCATAGTGTTTAGTTGTGTGGTTTTGTTCCATTAATTGTTTTGTGGATGTAAATAATTTATAGTTTGAGTTAAACTAAAAAATTGCTTCAGAAGGATTCCTTAAAGCGACAACAAACATTTTACCATGTGTATATATTTTTATGGTTACCGAATTTTAAAAAAACGACGAAGGCTTTAATTCTGCCCAATTTAAGGGTGTCAAAGCAGCAGCGTAAGTAAAAATCATGTCTAGCTGCTTTGAAGCATAAAACCACGTGCATAATCATGGGGAACGGTTAGAAAGAGGTTGTTTGGAGCACTTATTGAGGTATTGTTGCATCCTGGCACAAAACACCACTTATTTGTCACTATTTTCCATTATGCAAGATAATAATCAATAAAATAATGACAATCACAATAACTTAAATAATAAAACAAAGCTGCGAAAACAACAAAATAAACACGAGACACTTTGTTGATATGACCTGTTACGTCACAATCGGGATAGGCAAMCGACGATACRGATTCGGGGTTTTTGGYGGAAAATATCTGATTTGAATTTAAATTCGCTCTAAAATTATTATGGATACTTTTTATGCAAAAAAAATATATCAGTGTAATGTTTGCAATAACTACTTTCTGTATATCAGCATTACAGAAAAAGTGAAAACACCCTATTGCGGAATGCTCATTGGTGTGTAGAATTTCAATTTTCTTGGTGAGCTTTTCGGGTATTTAGGCCGTCGTGGAAGAGAAATTCTTTCTTCTTCAGAACGGATATTTCTATGTGGCGATTGCTATCGCTTACCTACGTAAAAATCCGAAACTTTCTGTCTGGCAGTGACGAGATTTCTTCCACGACGGCCTAAAGGCTCGACAGTCTTAATGCAGAGAAAATTGGTGCGTTTTCCGGGCTTTAAGCCGTCGTGGAAACTCCCGAAAAACTCACCAGTTTCCAGAAATGTCTTAATTTTCTATTTTTTAGACTGTGAAACGAAGTTTTACAGTCTTGACCCAGCCTTGAGTCGTCGATGACAACGTTTTCCATAATTTTTTAGGCACGTTAAGACCGGTTTTTCTGGTCAGCAGTTTCAATATCACTTATTTGCAAACCGTCCTTACAGTGACAATTTTAAAAGTGTGCCCGATAAAACCAGTTATCTTAAGACGTGTCGTCGTTATTATTCGATATATTAGTAGCTCTATTATTGACTTTATAATAGTGTTTATTTTTGATAGCCACGAACTTATTATCATTTTTTTCAATATAAAACGTTCAAGTACAAACCTAGACTTACAAGGGATAAAGAAATTGACGTGTCCTATTGCCGGGATTGTATGCTACAATGATTGAGGCCCGTCCAGGTATCACTTGCGAGGAAATTGCCTCTGAAATCGATAAAACGGCCAGAAGAATTACATGTTGAGGATGCAGAATTAGAAAGCAAGACAGAACATCTAATAGCACATGTTTACTTGTTATTGTAGTGGGTATACCAAAAACACATAATATTTTTGTACGAAAATTCCTTATGCAAGTTGTGTATATTCGACATTTAAACGGTTCCATCACTGTATTGCCCCCATAGTCTCTGCGGCTAGTCAAAGTCACTCCAAAATCCCTCAACTACTCTTAGGCAATTCCTCTCTACACTAGACGAAGATATTTGGTACTCCATCATTCTTCAGTCGTTTAAAAATTAATTACTTGCTTTAGTGCAGCTTTCGTGCCCCTGTCGCATAGTCTAACTGTATATTTACAAAAATCCAGCATTTTAGAGTGATTTGACTTGGGGGGCCACTTCACACCTCCATCGGCGTGCTCACACCTCACATTCTCCAACATTGTGTCGCATCGCCGACCTATTGATTACTCCCAAGTGATAATCCGCGTTGATCACCAAGTCTGCTATGCAGCCTCTGATCCCTGACCGATATCCAGTCACCAGCTTAATGAGCCGATGCGGCATCCCTCCAATGAAGAGCCCATCGGCCTCAGAAGGCGCAAACGGTTTATCTGGGGGCCGGATCTGCACCGACTGTCTCGTGATCGCTGGCCCATTATCCACAATCAACAGCCCCGAAGATCCATCCCTGACAATTGTCGATCAAAATTTGGTTCAACCAGCTGAAGATGTTGAAGATTCCTTACCGTACAGCCTTCACTCGGTGCCACAGGCCGTCGTTCACAGTGCTGGAGTTGTGAACCACCAGCATCTCATCCTCTCGATAGTTGGCGGTGTATCGGAGCTCCAGCGCCCCCCGCCAGAGCCCCAACGACACAAAGCTGCTGCCAGTGAAGGCCCACAGCAGCAGTCCCGATTCTGAGCCCGTTTTGAACCGCACATTGATGTCCAAGGGATCAGTGGAAATCGCTTCCATGGTGGTCGCATCGCTCATGTGGAAGTAGCTGTCCACTCCACGGAAGGAGGGCGGGCCTCTGGAGCACAGATGGTCTCGGTAGCCCGGTTTGCATCTATCGAGAGGAAAAAGTGCTCTGTTGTATACCCGGG